CCGTACAGAATTTCTTTTCTTTCTTTCCTTTAATAGATTCACCGGGACCGGCTCCAGTGGATGTATTATACGGGACCATTTTTCAGAAAGTTCTCGAGGCTGACACGATGTTCGTCCCAAAATAGCACCACCTAGCCGGATGAGACGCAGGCTGCCATAAAGGATTCGGCGACTTCTGGAAAAAAGATCTCAAATTTTTCAAAGGTCGACAACAGGAGATACATAAGAGGACGTGGCGTTCTTTACGTGCGGAACCGCTGTAAATTAGAAATTCGCCAATGTAACACACTAAATCAAGCCGCCATCCTAGACGTCGCTCGGAAAAACAAAAAGGCACTGTTCAAATACAAGAGACATCGCCGCAGAAACAAGGCATCCACGTTCCGTTTGAGGGACAAGAACCCACGGGCGACCCAACAGTGGTATCTGAAGATTACAGAGACGCTATACAGGTATATATTCAGCCCCAGTGTCCTCGTCACATCCACTCTTGTCAAAACGGAACTACGAATGGCCTCTAGCCGACTTGGCCTTCACGGTGGAGAGCATTCGTCAACTATTGCACAAGATCAACCCATTCTGTTCTGCGGGGTACGAGCAGGTCCATGCAAGGATCCTGAAGGGAACGTCGTCTACCCTGGCAAATCTTTTCTACCTGGTGTTTCGTCAGTCACTTGACGAAAACCGCTTTCCCTCTGCTTGGAAGGAACTGATTGTCATGCCAATTTACAAAACTGGCGACCGACCATCGCCTGGCAGCTATAGCTCTATAAGCCCCACTAGCGTGCCGTGCAAGGTGATGGAACACATTCTGAAGCCAGCTATCCTAGATCACCTTACTCCCAGTAAACCTGATATCTCCAGTTCAACACGGATTTCTCCCAGACCTTTCTCGTGTGACAAACACCTTCGTGTTTGTGGACAGCTTAACCCAAGCCAAGGAAGAAGGACTCATATCGGACGCCATATTTTTCGACTTCTCAGAAGCGTTTGATAGGGTCCCACACGTCCCGCTGCTCCACAAACTCGAGTCTTAGGGGATGCAAGGGAAAATCCTTCACTAGATCAAGGCGTTTCTATCGTACAGATCATTCCGAGTAAGAATAGGCTAGACCTATTCCTCTCCAGCGCCGGTTCCCGTTGGAGTTCCGTTTTCCCCTGGAGTACCGTCGCCTCCGAGGGGACCTAATTCTTAATTATGCCTTGTTTCAACAAAGCTTGGCAAACAGTTTTTACCGTTCACCCAGCAAACACACGACGGGGACATGGTAGGAAAATTTTCAAGCTCAGAGCACACACATTCATTAGGCAAAATTTTTTCTCATTTCGGGCAGTAGCTGCGTGGAATGCCCTTCCACCGACGGTTGTCCACGCTCCTTCTAGAACCCAGTTTAAAGCGCTGTTAGACATTTATTTATGCAAATCCTCGCGCTGGCAAGCATACTGCCCCGCGCTGATAACATAAAGAGCAGTGCTATACCCTTTTTTCACTTGTGCCTTTCAGGTGAACGACAGCCGCTGATACACAAGAACAAAATCGACCCGGGAATCTTGGGCGAAAGCCTCGGCCCTGTGTATCAATCCGTGAATCCATGAAACAAGTCATCTCGGAACTTTACTCCCGTTATCCGTTATACATCTGATTTCACTAGCCATGCAACAACTCTGCATGCTTATGTAGGCTTTTGCTAGATGCCTTATACTTTAATATCATATGTTAGCAAACCCAACCCCTGGTAGCTGGCCTATTAAGTACAAATCCACCTGTATCCTATTCCATATAATCAATTGTTGTCATCACCGTAAACGCGGTAGACGTCAGGTCTTTCTTTCCATGTATATTAGCGCACATTTTCAAATTCACCAAGCCTTACCAATCCCATCCAATCCGCTCATCTTCCCGAGCTTTGAACTTCAACAATGCCTGGTTTATGCGAACTGGTTGGCCATTACCCACTCCGCCTGGCCTGTGATCTACAACCACAGGATGCCCAAACGGACCAAAACAACCCCGCAATCACATATCGGCTTTGTTCCACCTTGTTTTCTTGGCCCGCATGAAATGAATCCCGCTGCCCGAAGCCCAGTCACCTTAAGTTTGACGTCCGCTACGGGGCTGTCTAAAAGCTAAAGCATGGCGGGCCAATGAATGCACGACACTACCATACCCAAGACTATTCCATTGCTTCTCTCGACCGTGCCATCTCGCCCACTCGTTTCGCTAACTGCAGATACGACAAACTCCTCACCTGACCCCAGCTGCCTCCACAACATATTCATTCCAACCTACTGAGCTTTTGGTTCGAACTTAACCATCTCTGTGTTTCTGTGCTTCCCACAAAATTCAATAAATTTCTATAGAGTTCGTGTTCCGGCTTGCGTGTTGCCGCTATCTCACTCTTCCAAAGATCTATTACGCCCGACTCCAAAAAAGTGGCACCATTGAGTCGCTGTACACCATGTTTCTGTGACACTTGGTAACGCCTATTCGCTTTGCTAGTCCCTCCACCTCATCCTCCTCAGCTAAATTTTTATGACCCTGGCCGTAAGTCCAGCAGTCCAAGGCCACGAGGCCTTAACGGTGGTTTTAGGTTGTAGTTAAATACGACCGGTTGGACGACGCGAGCTCTGCTTCTTCACCTGATCTGATGCTCTGGCTCCTTATTTTTCCCCGTTACACCTTTCTTGTCATGTGTTAGACAGGAAGCCCCTTGTTTAGCCCTCCCTCGCTTTGTTTTTACGCCCGTCACTTTCGAATCCCAACGAATTTATCTTGCCCGAAATAACGAATGGAAACTGTGCTTTCCTGTCCGTACCGGTTAAGTGGTGATCATGCCTATTTCGTATAGTGCCCACTGTAAATGATGCTGTCCATTTTCCTAGCCCTCTTTGCCCACGACCCTCGCCAGGCATGCCTTTGTTCTGACGGTATGCCACCCACAAGTTGGAAATAAAGATTATTATTTTTTTAAGATGGAAGGACTCGTCGGTGCCCTATGAACTCACAGTCATTACAGGAGGATATTCAATAACCTGCCATGTGGTGCGGGAAATTAACCGCATTTCACTGATGTTAGATTTTTTCGTCCTTACCAAGTTAGTTCAAAGGAGGGTTTGCAAGTTTTGTTATTTCTGCATCCAGAATGTGTCTGCTCACATTCATATAGCCTTCCAAGCCAAATAATCAAGAACTCATATATCTATCCATTCACGAAATGATACATTTTGCGAAATTCTCCCATTCAAGGAAGGTTATTTTCTTACGTATACTTGATGATCGGTGTCACTGAAGTGGATGTTAGCATGGTTTACACTGCAGGGAAACTGTCGCCAGTTCGCCCACCGCAACCCAGGAATGAGGAAGTATCTTAGTTGAATAGACTGGGCGCTATGTTTACCTGACTCATGCGTGTACTTCCACTAGAGAGCTTCACATAACCATCCGTTACTTCAGCGGAAAACGTTTGGAAGAATAAAACGCTTTCAACCACATGTCTATATAGCATACGGAATTTATTAAATATCGTACCAGTCAAAATATGAGATAGTCTGGAGGGGCACATTCAGCTGCTTAATAAAATCAAAAAGGAAAAATTCAGGTGTATTCTCGGTGCGTCTTCTGTCATCTACAATGCGGCATGCAAATTAGTGTATTTTGCTAGGATTTCATTCATTGTCTGATAGAAAACTGCTAGTGGACTCCTCAGTGAGGTTATCTGTCCTTGACGGGTGAAGGGATATTTCTTTGGTAACGAGAGGTTTTTGTGGGGTGATCGCCCCTCTGTTGGCCGCGGTCGTATGAACGAATGACATGAAAACAGGAGCAACAGGTGGGAAGAAATTGGAGACATGAAGAGGTAGCATCGCTCGTTTGTCGAAACGCGACGGGCGACGGGTTAAGAAGGTACACTTGCACGTGAAATCCGCATACGTGTGTAAACTGAGGTCCCTCGAATGTGCTACTTCATGTTTTCTGAGATAAAAGTTTTTGGGATCCAGCCCCTTTATTTCTAACGTAGAGCCGTCTTTCTCAGTTTCCGTATGTTTTATTCTCCTGCCCAAAACAAGACAGATCACGCTGGGGTTATAAGATGCTGAAAACAATGCAGTCAAACAAACGGGTTGGATCTACTTTGTAAACGAGAAAGGCCGAAATAACGTAAAATTCAGTGTTCATTGAGACAGATAACCACATCAAGGTTAACCTGTCAACTCTAGAGAGATAAAAAGTCACTTTTTGTATGGCCAGGATAAGATGGTATTCACGGTCAACGACCATCATTGCTCTCGCAGGGCCTTTTTGTTACCTCATTCGAGTCAATCAGGATGGGACATGATTAGCGGCATGTTTTTATGCAGGCGGTTAGTCAGTAAGGGGTACGCAAAGAGCAGTTGCATGATCTCTTGTAAATTGACCTGCTTTTCTATCCAGTCGCATTGTCAAGTGACAGACTACCTTTCGCACCAAAACGCCTTCAGACATCCCGCAATGGCCCACTCACTGGGTCTTTGTTTTAATGCGCTAAATCAACTCCACTCTTTGGTTGGCGGGATCTCCCCCCTGGCTGTTGGTTCCTCTTCATAACACCGTATCTAGGCCTTGATCTGTCGGTTGGCTGGCAGTTGTTTTGGCTAGCGTTTATCGACGTGAAGCCAAGAAATTGGAGCTGCGCTCGTAGTTATGTCCACCCCGGCCCAACGGCGCCTGTTACGCGACCTAAAGCGTCTACAAACCGATCCGCCGCCAGGTATATGTGGTTCTCCTGTGGATGACAATGTAATGGTTTGGAATGCCGTTATATTCGGTCCAGAAGACACTGCTTTTGAAGATGGGACTTTCAAACTGCGATTGGACTTTACCGAAGAATACCCCAACAAACCTCCACGAGTTGTATTCCTTTCGAAGATGTTCCATCCCAACGTTTACACGGACGGAAGCATCTGCCTGGATATTTTGTCAAGTGCTTGGAGCCCAACGTACGATGTATTGGCTATTCTCACCTCTATCCAGTCCCTTCTCGATGAGCCTAATCCAAACTCACCAGCCAACAGTCTCGCCGCCCAACTTTACGTAGAGAACAGACGTGAATACGAAAAACGTGTACGTGCCTGTGTTGAGGAGAGCATGTACGAGGAGGAAGATGACATGTAACTTCGCACGCCTGCAGCCCAAGTTGACTTACGTTCATGTACATACTTATTTTGTAAAATTAATCGACAACCAGTATTTAGTTGTTGTTTCCCATTGTTACTGAATTTTATTTTGCGGTCCAGGTACCTCCTAAACGAGCGCGTGCTATCATTTCTGTGTAGATGTCTGCTTCTTACCTGTGATTTGAGATATCTATAGCGCCTTGTTTCTCTACTCTTCAGTGAATAAAAAATAATCGCATTCGGGTTTCTCTGTAAAGCTGAGAGATCCGCTGTGCGTGTGCCGAGAAGTTGTAGCGTGGATAGCATATTGTCGTTCATTGTTTAGTTCATAGTTGTGGTTCTGGGTAGGTCACTTCATACGAATTTATCTCATCGGTGAATATAAGCATTTCATCTCATGTCGCACGCGAGCACAATACTAATAACAACCATTCAGCTGTAACACCCTTTCGGTGCCTAGGTGCCATGCTACTCGAAGGAAGCACGAGGGCTAGGATACTGTGAAGTTGCCCAAGCCCACGAACCTTCCGGTCAGTGAATTCGCGCTCTAAACACTTGAGCCATTTCGCCCATCCGTAATGGAATCTAACCTCATTGTCGTGTAGAAACTCAGTAGGTTACTCTGGGGTTTCTGTCGCTAAAACTCCAGGTGTAATTACCCGCTTACGCCCTCCATACCTAGAGTCAACCTGTATGACGTTGGTCGTGTCCGTCTTATGTTCGCCTATCGGCATCTGTGTGCTTTGTGATATTTGAGGGACTTGAAGTCGCGAGTGTCTACCAGAAATCTATACGGATACAAGCAAATTGTGGCAAGTGAGCGATCCTATCAAGAAACCATCAGCTGTCGGTAGCTTGCCAGTGTATGGATCTGCTAGTAAGCGACAGAGTGTGCACACCAGTGGTATTATTCTACACAGTACCCAAGTGAATTTCATTTGGTAGTTTCAGGCGCCAAATGAAGACTTTTATCGTACGAAAGCGGATTTCACAGAAGTCGAAAAGTCAAAATCATTACGAGAAACAAGGCAGCCATAAGTGGCTTCTTGAAAAGAGTGTCCCATATAATGGAAGATCACGAGTGGGAGGGTATGGATTTCGGTACTCCGGTGGTTCGGGATTGAGTCGAAGAAATTAGTTTGATAACGATTGAGAAACTTGGTGACGTTCCTTGTTTCTTTGGCATCATAATTCCAGCCAACTAAGCCTTGCGATTGAAGAGAATATTGGCACGAATTTATAGCAATCCTGTATCTTGGTGTCATGGACTACGGATGTCTTGGTAGTGCAGACATTTGACATCGGGTTTGACCATATTTAAGCAGGGTTTCATCTGTTCACTCTAGTGTTGTCACCGTTCCGTACCAGCCATCTTGGTGAGCCCCGAGTTAGACCATATGGTGTGTCCGGGCCATCGTACTTGGTGTGACATCGTCTCATGTCAGTTAATCGTGTCCCGTCGTTTGAGTCTTAAAATTTTATGCATTTGTGGTAAAATACATCTAGGCTCCGAATGTCCGGTTGACTTTTCGGTGTTCGAATTGCTGCATTTGGGAAGCTCATTGGTCTGGAGTGCGGAGATGACATCACCGTCATCTTGAAAGACCGAGGTGAAGCACAAGCCCTGTTGAATAGACCGACCACCGGCGCATCATCTCTTGGCGTGCGTCTTGCACCTTCAAACTGCAAAGTCATGCTTCAGAATGTACAGTCTCTGAACGTACGTCTGACAATTCAAGGAGAATCACTGGAGGTTGTGGAGAATTTTACGTGCCTCGGTAGTGTATTAGCTCTGACAGAAGTGTGTCTGGTGAAATCTGTGCAAGAATCTCAAATGCTCGAATCACGCTTACTAATTTGCGTCAATTGTGGCGTCAACACAGCGTGTCACATGGTCTACGGGGTTGTATGTACTAGGCTACAGTAATGGCTGCAGTGTTGTAGGGTTGCGGGGCATTCCCTCTGCTGACGGATAACGAAGGAGCCTTGAAGTTTTAGACAGCCAATACCTCAGACACGCTGCGGCTTTCTAGATGGCGTCAGTGGGTTAGCAACGAGTTGTCGGAAGATATGTTTGCGTCTTTAGTAGGTAATTCAGTGGTGGCAAACATCCAGAAACGTCAACTTTGTTAGCTCGGTCATGTTCTGCCCATGCCGAGACGAGTGTTCTCCTTACCCCCTTCAGAATGGCGCGTACCGCGAGGTGGAGAACGCATGGCTTGGTATAATGGTGTGGAAGAGACCACGAAGAGTTTGGTTGTACGCTTCCCTATGGGGTCCCCGTGATCCAGCGTACGTTTGGTGGGAGACATTACAATACATGGCAGCAGAGCGATGTCAGTTTTGTTTGTGCTGTCAGTTTCCGGATCGTCTGGCTGAGGCACCTCTGGATGCTTGACGTCGGCGACACTAGGTGCACTCTCTCATCCACTCTTTTTGTCTTTTCTCTCCAAGGCTTTGGGTATTATTATACGAAATCTATGGTTGTACAGAACTCAAGCATCACTGTCAACACTGGTGTTATTTTTTCTGAAAATGATTGTTTGATCGGTGGGCAAGATTTGGGAGGCGTACTGGAGGGATAGTAACAGTGCACAAGCGAACCTCGGTAGAAAGAATTACTTTCCCCACGCCGTCATAGTATATAATGTCGCCGGTATATCTGCTTCTATGATATTCCAGGACCACTCAGGGTTTTTTTATTTCGACCTTCGAACCGAAATCAGTGAGTTGCATGTCAGCAAGCTGCTGAATATTGCAGCGGCATTCCATTGTACGGTGTAGAAGGAATATTTGGACTGTACTACCTCTAGTCGACACTTGCCTTGGTTTAGTCAAATCCGTCGATCCTTTTACGTAACGCAACTTCCGAGCAGGATGCGGTGAGAAGTTCTACGGCTACATCGATGTGGCGCGATTTTCTGAGGTTTTTACATCTCGCCACGTCACCTTTTTGTGGTGGCAGCGAATCGGAAGTATACCAGTTGGTTGATATTTTTGTTTCCTACTATATGATGATGCTAATTATGCGCAGCGATTCCTACAGTTTCAAGAGTATCTGAGGTTGTTCTGTCATCTACTGAAAGCTTCTGGGTTTTTGCGCCACTGGAATAATTCCTTTCTTGGACGAAACCCAGCACATTAGTGCTCCGACCTAAGAACCGCAATACTTGTTGCAAACAGGAAGGAGTTCGTAAGTAGCTATACGAAGTTTTCTACCCACCTGTGCCCTTTTTCGGCCATTCGCGATATGATTTGGCTATCGACATCACGCAGGAGGTGATTCTGAGGCGGAAGAGAGCTTGATTTTTGGCGTATGAGAGGAGACAGTCTAATGGCGGTAATTCGCTACCGTTTCCATTTCTTCATCAGATTCGGCCCTGTAAAGGGTGTAATGTTTAAGAGCCTGGCGTGTTTTCATCGGAAAGTTAATTTTGTCTTCGGCTACCCCGTGCAAATACCTAGGGGCTTGTTGCTTCATGTGTTGCCCGGACCTTTTGCTCACTACTACTCCCAAAGTCAGTGCTGGAATCTCCACCTGTTTCATCTGGTTCCTTACTGAGTTGTTTCATATCTTTATTATCATCTGGTCTTGAGGATAGCTCACTAGCTAATGTCTCTCGCTTTTATTGGGGTGTAAGTGTAGCCGCTTGGGATCTTATCCACGTTACGGCCTCCATTGTTTGTGCTGTTTGACGAATTGGGCCGAAACTTTGCTTTCTCTTTATTCGGGTTTGTTATCCCCAAAGCACGCATAAAACACCCCACTTCGGAAGTGCGCCCCAACTCGCTTAAGAAGAACTCAGCTATTTCGCATATCACTCCCAGGTACCTGGTGATCTTGGCCTACTGGCCCGGAGTATCCGTGTCGTGGGAGTTGCACTCGCCCCCAAGACTGAAAGATCCTTGTTGAACTGAATTCCGGCAAACAGTGGTCTTTGAGCTGTACGGCTGTGAGGTTCAACTAAGCTCGTTCATCACCATCAACACCATAATATCCGTGTTCACCACTGACACATTGCTACCGTAGCGGTAAACGATGTCTATTTGTTGTTGGCATACATTTCGATAGACTGCAGTTCTGAATCAGAGAGAGGTTGACTTTTTATCTGGTTTCGGTCAGCATAAAGATGGGATATTGTCACCTCGGGGGGTGGCATAAACGCCCAAGTTGATCGACCAGGCTTGAAAGGAGCACAGTGGGTGGGAGGTTCTCACTGTAATGATAATGGAAATTGCTTCAGTTCTGTGTTTAATAGCATCTGTCCATGGCCAGCACAGGAGCTCACAAAGTTAGCTGGAGGCCACCAACTTCAAGCCTGTCTTGAACTCACTTGGATAATTTTTCTGTCAGTTACCGGTGGAGAACCCCGGTTAATGACTGTTATTCCCTCTGTGGTGCGCAACTAGACTCCGATCACACCGTAGAGCGAGTTCGGTTAGGGAGTATCAGGGTTACGCCTGTGAATTCAATGACAACAACCTGGCAATATCGGGCTCATCTATCTGGAAAGCTAGTGAAGACTCACAGTCACACTGATGACATGTTGGCTGGAAGGCGGGTAGAAGAGTAAGAGCAGATATACCGTGCCCTTTTAGGATATCGGATTCCATCATTAGCCCATGGATTCTTCGAGACATGCAGGTCTTATTGCTGGCAGAAAAGCCGTACCAGCAATCACCGACTACGATGATGCGCACCGATTCTTCGTACGACGGACAACGAAAAGCCTGAAAAATGACAACTTTGTGTGTTGTGGGGGCCCAGGAAGTGAAGGCTTTTGCCGCAGGAAGCACGCGTCCTATTTCGGCCGTACCCATCAACGGGTATCAGCGAAATCATTTACGTAAACGATGGAACAGCAATTCATCCACCGAATTGTTTTCCGGAGTGATTGGCTGAACGCTACAGAACGGTTTATCCCGTCGTCAACACAATCCCCACACCAATACCAGCCCGCCTTCGGTAACAGAAATCCTGTGCCACATATCATT